GTCGGGTACCCCACCCGGGGGCGAGGCCCCGTGCTGTCCCTACTCATCGCCGCGATTGTCCTCCTTGCGCCAGGATTGACCTCGATGCCATGGTTGGCGCTGCCACTGACGCGTAGATGTCCACTGCTGTGCGCCATGCCACTGGTTGTACTCACGGCCCTTCTCGCCTTTCTTGCCTTTGCCCTTGCCCGTTTTGCCCCCAAAAGGAGCTTTGGGCAACCAGGTCGAGGTAGTCACGGTGTCATTGCCGTCCGTGCGCTTGCGCTTCTTGTCCTCCTTCGGCTCTCGTGCCATGTACTCATTCCACATAATCACGTCATTGAGGATCTCGTCGGTCGCTTCCTTGTATGTCCTGCCTGTATTCAGGGCCATGCAAATGCTCCAGGAAACCGCAGAATAGTACTCCCGGAAGATCTCGATCTTGTTGGGACGCTGGCGCGCCCTGCAGATCATCTCTTCGAAAAACAAGTTGATCTGTTTCTCCTCCCCCACCTGGAAGAGAATGTGACACCATCGGATGGCATCCAAACCATCCACCACTGCCCACAAGGAGCGGGGCTCCCAAGTCGCCTCCTCCTCAGTCTGAAGAGACTCCCCATCGAACTGAATCTTGGCCGATTTCTTCCTGGTAGCCAAATGATTCACCTCATTTGTGCTTGTAAAGCTTCGCTTCGAAATCAGTTCTCCCAACTCCAGAGGCGTGTAGCAACGGCTGACAGTGTGCTCCCAATGAAATCTCGCCATTATGCTCTCTGCTCCAATCAACCGCTTGATCGGAAACTCACGCTTGCATCCTGCAACCGTGACCTCGTTGTACCGATTGACTGCGTCTGTCCAGACCTTGGGCGGCAGCGTACGGGGTGCTTTCTCCGAAGTCGACTGTTTGCCGTCCGGAGCGGAAGGAGAGCTGGACGGCGTCCTTGTTGTGGGTGCCGCTGCAGTGGCTGAAGCCTGCCTAGATTCCCTGGCCAGGCTATACATGTAAAGCAGAACTGCTCTAGCTATCGGCTGCTCCTCGGCCGACAGCTCCAATCGACCTGCCGGGGTGTCGAATCCTGCCAACAACGGCCGAA